TGCTCTCATGCTGGTTCACAATCTGGACAAAAAGTGATGCTGCACACCACCTTTCTCATGGAGACTCTCCCTTCAGTCCACCTCTGCTCCCTATTCCCTACTGTAGGTACCGCGTTTTCTCCACTCCCCTTCCTATCCTAAGTAAAGCATTTCATTTTCATGAACAGCACACCCTACCAGACGCAACTCAATGCAGAGTGTGGAATGTCCTTAGTGTGGAGACCTTTCCAGATCCAGAAAGCATTCAGAACGGGACACACAGCTAGGTGCATATGGAGGTGGCCTAAAGGATGGCAGATAGCCACAGCACTGTATGGCTTTCAGGTGGCAGTTCAAACAAACACAGGCGTCATTTAGAATAATGGGTGCACATGAGAGATATTGCTGCTCATTCCCACAGAAGATACATTATTGGGCTTAAAGAAATATCTTAATCTGACAGGCTGGGGTGGACAAAACGAACCTTTCTAGTTTTAAGAAAAGGAGTCTACAAGGAGACCTAATACTAGTATTTAAAGTTCTCCAAAACATTGACAAGGTCAATCCAGAGGACTTCTTAAAAATGAGCAGTGAAACACAAATTAGATTGTTTAATGTAGCATTTAAAAGCAAGAACAGGAGACACGTCTTTACCTAGACAGCTGCAGGAGTCTAGAACCAGTGACCCAGTGCCCCAACCATGTGGCTGATGAGTCATCAATTAACTACTAGACAGGCTGAATGGCCTCCTGTCATCAGTGACCTCTCTAATGTTCTTACATTACATTACATTATTTGACAATATAAAGCAATACACTGTAACACAGACAAACTTGGGCACAACACCTTGTCCCATTCTGTTACTTTTCCTGGAAGATTGTGAAAGGTGAAGGTGAAATACTGAACAGAAACGCAACACAAAAAAGCACACCCCTTAGAGTGGCACACAGAACCAGAAAGAAATTGCACAATTCAAATGCAAATGATACAAAATCACCAGCACTGGTCCCAGAAAGTCATACTGGGGGCCTCAACTTCAAATTCAAGCACTGACTTTCTTTACAAAGTATATCAGTTTGCACTGTCTTCTGCAGTTTTAGAATCATTAGGAGTGAAATTCTTTCTTACATTATAACTTAAACTATTAGGCTTTAAAATGAGAGCGATTTAGGAGGCTCCTGTGCAGCTCACCTGCCCAAGGTACTCGCCCAAGCTCAGGCTGAACTCCCAGCTTCGAACCTATGTCCTTTCACTATCCGACTATGTCTCAAATCCCTAGTGACAATGTACAAGTGTCTGCTGCTCAGGGTGGTCTGGGACAAGTCACCCAGGGCTTTCTAATCATTCAGTGATACAGTGCCCCCTTGTGGCCTTCTGGGCAACTGCAGGCAGGTGTGGATGCCGACATATTCAATTAGAATGGCCCAAAGATGGGCAGGTGGGAGGAGTCTGCCCACCCTTCATTCTCCCCTGTGTGCGGTTGCGGGGTTTGTAACAAGTCTTGATAAGCCAAGACATAAAACACACAAAACTAATCTCTTTCAAACTGGAGGGCTAAAGCAAAACTTCTTTCTAGCAAAATAAATGTCAATTTTTCAAATATACTGTAAATTCAAATAGTTTTTTTTAACAAACGGAATGATTTACAGAGCCAGAGTAACCACATGGTCTAAAGGTGTGACAAACAGCAAGGGCTTAATCGAAAGAGAGAAAAGTCACGAGACAGGTTGCCATTTCACAATCCTTCTTCAGTGCAAATCAATACAAAATAAGATTGGGCTCCCCCCCGAAAAAAGAAGGAATCCAGACATTTGAGATCACTATGAGGGAATCTTATAGCTAGGAACTGAAATTAAATAAATATTCACTTCTTTCTACACTGTAAATTAAGTAAATGAATGTTCACTATAGTGTTTCAGAACTACTGACTATGACTCTTTTCTCTGATATTTCTAGATTTAATGATTCTAAAAACCAAGTAAGCAACAAAGCCAAGCTTATTTATCAACCGCTTCACTCTTATTTCTTTTTTGATAGAGGCTTTGATAACTGAATGTTGCAAATGTCACCCCAGCATTATTTATGGCACAACTGCCTTACAAAATGTTCTAATATTAAATATGGTATGTTTATTCTATAAATGCTGACCTTTTGAAGTGAGACAAAAAAACCATCTCTGAAACCAGTGTTATAAACAATATCCCTTTCAGTCTCAACAGCTATTAAGAGACGACTGACTGCATTTTGTAAAGGAATTAAATCCACCAAATACTGTAACTCTATGGTGCCCGCTGCTAGTCTCTATAAAAGACAAAAGGACAAGTGAGTAAAACAATATACCCCAAAACTGTATTCAAAGGCATATAAATGTTTTGTTACATTTAGATATTCTATGCTCGGTCAAGATAACATTTTTCTGTAAAATTGAACACACCACACAAATTAATGCTTTCGTGGTTTTGTGCATAGTCACACCTCATAGGGCACTACTGAACAAAATCACTCATTTTTGATAGTTCAGTTTCTCTGCATAAAGCCCTGTAGTGTAATTACATGCCCAGGTTTTGCTTCTGAAAACTCTTTTCTTACACAGGTTGCCGGAATCTGACATTTGAGCTATAAAAACTGCCAGTAGTACTTGTTAGTATATACAGTATGATCTGGCTCGATGAAAACAAACTTATTCACGTGAGTTCAATGAATCTCGTACTGTTCACTACAAAAGACACCTCACAGACAAGTATCTGAGAACAGGATACTTTGCTACAATATAAATTCTGAAACGTGTTCAGTATCATAAAACAAATCCTAATGTAGTTCAATCAGCTGTAATCTTAATACAGTCCAGCCCCAACAATTCTATTTGACATTTGTAAACTGCCTTTCTTTAGTTAATAAATCAAACAGATTTAAAATGCCCTAATGATTTCCAGAACTTACTTTTCATGAATCTGGGAATACCACACTCTCACATTTTATTTTACATATCCTCCATCAATATATTAAAGAACTGAGGTCATATAACCGGCACAATTTAACAAGAGGGCACAGGAAAAGCTTCACCTGAGGATTCTGTAGAATCCCTACACTTGGTCCACAATGGAACTTTTTCACATTAGGTTTTCCTTGCACAGTTTTCAGGAGACCTGCACTTCTTTAAGTACAGTTAATATTCTTTTGTCTTTGACAATGTATCAAATACTACAGGAGCTTTTCTCCATCAGAATTGATTCTGATTATCCCAGAAAAGTCTGTCCTGTTAAGCATCACCGATTACAACAACAACTGTACATGCAAATGGAGAAATACAAGAAGACCTTGGAAAGTGAGATAATAGAACTTCCCCTTTCCATAACTTTAGGAAAGGAAACAATTACTTAATAAAAGCACCTTCTTCATTTGAAGTAGTAGTCCTAAATTCAGTAATTTGGCTGTTAATGTTATTAGTGCCCTCCTCCTTTTCTTTTGAAATCTCTATGCAGAATCTGAATATGCCTAACAAATGCTGCTTATTATGTTTAAGCAAATTATAAACAATTTATACATGGTTGTCCTATAAAATCAACTGTGCACAAACCATGTATCTCAATCCAGACATAAACCTTGCTGTACATCTCCTCAAAAAACACTGTTTAATTGATATGTACAGTAGGTACGGTCAAAAAGTCTGAAAAGTGTTTCAGAGCTATTTGTCTTTTTCTTCACACAGCGAGATGACACAAAAGGCCGCAACTTTGTCCAGGCAGGGAAAGATGGAGCCAAGGGAAATATGAAAGAAAAGCTGAAATCCCACCTCCGAACGATGAATACTAAGCATGAACAGAACCACAAAGGAAGTGCAGTGCTCGAGAGGCACAGGGAGGGAACGAATGAGTGTGGAACAGCGGAGCCCTGCAATTGTTGTCAAGGTCAAGGGAAACAAAGGGTATGATTCACAGAGCCACGTTAACCAGATGGTGTTGTGAGGCGACCAACAATAAGGAATTAAGTAAAAGGAAAACCATTCAATAGCTGGGGCACCAGAATATAACTTTTAATCAGTACAACCAATACAAGGTAGGGTAGGGCTTATACGATACAAAGGCAGACTCTTTGGTCTATGCTGTGCACTGTTAATGGCAGATGAGCTTCAGACTAAAAGAGTTTGGCTCAGGTGGATGAACACAATCTTGAGAAAGAGTTTGTGTGCCTGAGCTGAAACCCAGAGAGGACTGTGTGGCTGTCTCAGGAGGTCTTGGGAGAAGATGCAGGGTACTAAAAAGGCAGGGGTACTCTGGACAGAAATGGGAAAAGACAGCTCGCAAGTGAAATGTAAAAAAGATTCATTTCTAACTAGACTGCAGTTCCAAGTGAATATAACTTTAAAGAAACTGGATGGCATTTTAAATTAAAAAAAAAAATACGCAGAAAAAAAGTGTTTCAATATTCCAAAACTTTAGCTTATATTCTAATAAGCAGCAAATGATTACACATTCAGATTCATCATAACAATTCCCAAAACTCCAAAATAAACGGCACTGCCTGAATAACTCAAGACACTCATAAACTGTATAAAATGTGTTAAAGGGAAACTTGAGTCAGGTGACATGTTCATTAACTGAAAACACGTTTTACACACGATCACACCCACACGTTATCCCTGTAAAACACCCACACACATTTACAGTACAGGTTTGCAGACTACTCGACAGATTCACATAACAGATAAATAACAGAATGCATTTAAATATATATGACATATATATATTAGGACATTTCATTAAAAATAATTAAATCTAATGGATTCAAGTTTAAAAAAATACATGTAAAAGTATTTAAAAAATGAAAGAAAACAAAAATTGCTGATTATTTTGGTGGATAAAAAGTGGTTGGTCTCAATAACCTACCAAAAAGAACAGGGAAAAAAAAATAATTTGTTTTAGATACACTTAAAGTATAACAAAAAATATCCAACTTATATATTTTATTAAACTGTATAAAATATATAAATTCAATTTACATATATAAATATTTATTTTTCCCTTTGTACGCATTTCAGTTTGTTTCAGTTCCTATCGTGGCGCTGAAATGGAAGGTATGAACCTCAGCAGTGCAGACATACTGTAGTACAGTATGTGCGACTGCGACACATGTTGGAAATCTGTAAACTAATAATCTTCTCTGATCTGAACGCAGCAGGGTTAGAAAAGCACAGGCTTCTTCTACCCGGGCTCTCGAGAGGTCGGCACGGATCGGATTACTGCTAAGGGAGAGCCTAGCCTGTTTCTACGGCAGAGGAAGAAGCCGACAGCAGAGCCCTTGGGTCGCGATACCGTGAATGGAACGATCTGTCGGTCGGCGGACGCTTGTGACTATTGCTAGTGAGTTCTGAGGCGCGCTAGGTCTGGCGGTGTGCTGTGCTCATTCTCGGGAGCATGCCACTGAGTTGTGCTCACGTTCTGGAGCGCTAGGTCTGGCGGCCCATACCAGTGTGCTGTGCTCACTCCGAGGAGCAGAAAGGTCTGGCGGCCCGAGCCGGTGTGCTGTGCTCACTCTGAGAAATGGAAGATGGCCTCGGGGTGGTTATTGCTGTCGGCGGGAAGGCTGGGCTGCGAGGCCTTCGTGGGGGACGCTTTGTCCTGTGACTGCGAGGAAGAGGAGTGGGAGCTCTCGCTGGAGCTACTGCGCGTCTCCGTGCTGGTACTCGTCTTCTTCATCTTCCTCCGCTTCGCCAGGGGGGCCTTGTCCACGTTCTGTAGGCAGAAGCCCTCCCGTTTGCACTTGTTGAAGGCCTGTAGAGGGGACAAGGTATAACACTGCTGGTCTTTCTCCTTCAGAAACACCTTGTCTCTAATCGACCCTGCGCTTCAGTGAGGTACTTTTACATTTGTTAAAGACAGTACAGTGAGAGCTTTAAAAAACAATGCAGCTTTCCAGTAATGATTCTTAAACAGCAAAGTACATTTCTGTCAACTCACAGAAAAACATTAGCACACATAAAGCTCTAAATTTTTCTCAATAGCCACATTAGAACACAGACATTTCATTCTTACTGTAACACAATGTGTTTTTTGATATTCCAGAAAGGACTGAAAAGACCCAAAATGAGCCAAACCAGGGACTGCTGGGAAACATGAAATTGGAAGGTTTTTTTAGGCTGTTACTGTGACATAACTGTTAAAACTGAAGCTATGAGCTCATTTCATTTGTTCGGTACACCCTGTGCCTCAGAGAAGGCAAGTCAAAGATTACAGGAAGGAGATAAGAGATGCAGCCCTTGCTCTCACATGGAACGTGGCCTTGACGTAGGTGTGCACTGAAGCAGTGGAAGATCCCAGGATGTCGGGGGTCATGAGAGGATTGGAGGAAAGCTGGCTGCCATCCTGGAGCCACTCATTATACCTCAGGCTTGACATCTTAATTCTTTTGTTGGGGTCCACAGTAAGCAACTCTGTTGGGGGGAAGAAAAAGCATTAAAAAAAATAATGAGTACTTTTAAGACAATCAGCAAGTGGGAAACAAACACTGATGTGGCGTCGCCCAGTTTAAAATGCAAACCAACTGAAAAGTTACAGATAATGAAACCAGAAGACCAGAAACACCGAAGATGGAGTAAAAAGTGCTATCATGGTGCCAAATTGCATTTTTTGGAAAATGATCCCTCTGCACATAAAACCACCCAAAACACCCTAAAAAAATCACCCACAGGCAGCTGAACAATATCTAGCCAGTTCTGCTTACTTAAATTAAATGCTTAAATCAATTTAAGATGCACGTGCTCACTAAGGTGTGGGCCCATTTTGTGTAAAGAGTCATCCTTAGACTTCTAAATAGATCTTAATGCTGGAGAAAAAAAAAACAACTAAAAAAAGGAAAATATCTTTACATGTACTCAGGAAAAAAAA